ATTCAGAATCAACTGATGATAGCAATGAAAGCAGAAAGCAAAACAGCATGGGTTTTTTTTTTAAACTTTTCTGGGGAGAAGATAATGGGATAGGCCTGTTGCTTGAGGATGGATGGAATGGTGATAAGTGGGAACAGAAAGAAGGTGGTGCTTTACTTTTCTTCTGTTTTCTCTGCCAAGGAGAAGGACCTTTGCACAGGTAAGGAGAGAGGAGGGAAATGGCTAATAAGGCATTGACAGCAGAGGGAATTTGTTGTTGTTGAGTCGTTTCTGTTGTTTCTGACTCTTTGTGAGTTCATTTGGGGTTTTCTTGGCAAAGATACCGGAGTGGTTTGTCATTTCCTTCTGCTCATTTTACAAGTGAGGAAACTGAGGCAAACAGGGTTAAGTGACTTGCCTAGGGTCACAGAACTAGCAAGTGTCTGAGGCTGGATTTGAACTCAGGAAGATGGCTCTGATTGACTCCACGCCTGGCACTTGATCCGCTATACCACCTAATAGTTAACAAAGGCAATTAGGAAGATAGTTTAGGATCAGTGGTGTATTGATATGTTCAAGCATCAGACCCAGTTGACCTGCATCATACGATAGTCAAAGAAAGGGCAGATGTGATTGTTGAAGCACTTGCCAGCAATCTTGAAAAATCAAAGAAGAGAGGTACTTTAAGACCAGGGAAGGGCAAATATCCCCATATTTTCAAAAAAGGGAAAGGATTTGAATTCTGAAAACCATAGTCCAATGAGCTTGATTTTTATTTTCCTGACAAAATTCCAGGATTCATTATTGAAGGGATGGCTCTTGAACATCTAGAAAATACAGTGATTACAAAAGGCCAAAATCGTCAAGAGCAAGTCATGCCAGACAAACCTAATTAACAGGGATTTTTTTGGTAATTATCAGTCCACTTGGAAGGTGGTTTCCAGTGGAATGCCCCAGGAATGTATGTTTGTTCCTGTGCTGCTTCCCATATTTAGCAATGACTTAAAAACAGCTGTTAGATGGCATCCTTATTGAATCTTCAGATGACATCAAACTGGGAGGCATGGCCAACACTCTGGGTGAGAGAGGCAGGAGGGCAGAGGAAGACAAGCAGAGGCTTTTGATCATTCTGTGTGAAGATCAGATGATGGAACTGTAGTCTTTAGCCTGGAGAAACATGGAACTTGTCTTCCAGCATATGAAGGACTGTTAGCTTCAAAAAGAAATTTGCATTGACTTGTTCTGCTTGGCCCTAGCAGGTAGAACTAAGAGCAAGGGGTAGGAGCTGCAAAGAAGAGTGGAATCAGGGCTCTAGGCATGTCTTATTTGTTGTTCTTCTAGAAAGCAAAACATCACTGCAAAGCCCATGGATGTGCTAGGCATTATAAGTATGAAGAAGCGATGAGAAAATGTGTTCCTGTGGGAGAGAATGCTTTCTCGAGGTTGGGACAGCAGAAAGCACCGGTGTTCTGAGAATATCCCAATAACCATGCCTTATCCAGTCTCCTGACTCTGTACTTCCCTCTCCTGGAATTGCACTGCTACCCTCCCTCATATTTTAACTCTACCACCCCCACTTTATTCTTTGTCTCCTTATCCCAGTTGTAAGACCATAAATCAGGCAGCCATATTGCTCGTGATTGGAGAACATGACTGTGACACCTTAGTTTGTGTCCAAGGTCCAGTTCTCCCTTTCTGGACACCAATAATAAAACTACCTTAGCTAAGCCATGAAAAATTCAGAGGATTGGGTTAATTCTTCCACAAGAGAAAATTTGGGCTTGACATAAAGAAAAACTTCCTAACAGTTCGAGCTGTCCAAAAGTGGAATGGGATGATTTGGCAAGTAGCCATTCTCCCTCTCTAGAAATCTTCAAAATACCCTTTATTGGCTGTGTTATAGAGTGCATTTTTCTTCAAGTATGAGTTTAACTGATTGGCCTCTTTGGTATCTCCAGGATTCTATGATTGTACACATATGCATAAGCTTTTTTGTTATTTACTGGTGGTTAATTCCCAAACGAAAGGCAGCATGATAGAGCTGGTCTTGGGGCCAGGAAGACCTGGGTTCAGGTCCCACTTCTGATGTACCCTAGCCAGGTCATTTAATCTCTTAGTGCCCCAGGCAACTCTCCAAGACCTTCAGTTGCAAAAACAGGCTTTGATCTGTTTCGGTAGAGGGAGTTTCTTCTCTGGCCATGGAATCAGAGGTCTGGTCAATTAAAAAAAAATCCCTCTTCTTTATCCTCCCTCCCTTCCCCAAGATCAGAACCTAGGGATATTGACTTTAACCCAATAGTCACTAAATCTTTCCATTTATTTTATGACCTGTTTTCAACTTCTTTCTTACAGGAGAGATTTGGGTATGGGTTGGATTAAGTGGCCTCTGAGGGGCCATCACATTGAGATTCGGAGAGGACATGAAGGGGCCCACGTGGAGTAGTATGAGCCTCCTTTACACAGGTCAAATTGATACTCACCCTTTTCCCTTCAAAAAGGTCTAAACCCTATCCCTAGTGTTTCCCGACTCACATTAGCCTCAGTTTCCCAGTATATCCACTGCTAAATTCATCAAACCAATGGAGAAAAGGAATTCTTCCAGGAAAAGCCTCCCTGTCCTGTGTAACCCTACAAGAGGTGAATCTCTGCCTAGGTCAAGGAAGCAAGGAAGCTATTAGGTCAAGTAGAAAGGAACATGCTACCAGTCTGTTCTCATTTACATAAACTCATTTACATTCCTATGACTAGGAATCATGGAAGACCATGTTCTCTGAAGGATGGAAGTTATGGATGATGACCTAGAGAAGATGGAGAAATGGGCAATGGGTATACAAAGACTGCAATATGTTATCAAAGATGATTTGTGCACAAGAAGTGATGTAAAAGGCATAATCAGGGCCCATATGGACAGAAAGAGGGATAGGCCGGTCATATGACCAGAAGGAGGGATAACAGATAACTAGTCCAAGTACTATATTGTGAGTATGGAGTCCTGTGAGTATGGAGTCCTGAAGTCAGGAAAATCTGAGTCAAACGTGGCATCAGACATTTGCTACTATGTCACCCTGGGCATGTCTCTTAAATTCTCCCTGCCTCAGTTTCCTCATCTGTGAAATGGCAACAACAACAGCACTGACCTCACCTGGTTGTTGTGAACATCAAATGTAAAGGGTTTACAAATCTTAAGGTACTATATAGATGTGATTGTTGTTGTCATGTTGAAAGATCCAGGGAAAGATCTTCAGCATTGCAAAAAAGATTAAATTCAATTTGAGGCAACTGGCATTAAATGTCAGCTATGTGCTAAGTGTTGGAGATAGGAAAAAGCAAAAAACAGTCCCTGCTCTCAAGGAACATATATGCTACTTGGTGGGATGTAGAAAAGATACAATATTTAAACAGATAAATAAACACAATATAGTTTGAAGTCTATTCCTCTATATCTGTATATCTTATATCTATTTTATATACAGTTATATGTGTACATGTTATCTCTGCCAAGAGAATGTAAGCTCCTTGAGGACAGCCACCATTCCCCCTGTAGCTTTGTATCCTCAGCACTTAGCATCGTTCCTTTCACATATATGGTGCTTAGTAAGTGTTGCTTGGTTGACTGATTGAGGGAGAAAGGATTAACAACTAGGGCCAATAGGGAAGGCTCTCCTGGGGAGGTGGCATTTGACTTGACCTTGAAGGAAGCTTTGAATTCTAAGAGACAGGCCAGGAAGGAATGGATTGCAGGAGAATAGGACTGTCTTTGTAAAGGCACAGAAACGTTGCATGAAATCTATAGGTCAGGGGAAAGCAAGTGGGCCAATCCGGTGGAATAACATCAATAAGGATCACTCAGGATAAAAAGGCAGAGGAGGAATACAATCTGTACCAGGAAAGCGAGTGCTACATCAGTGAGATCATGTAAACACCAAAGTACAAAGGCATTAGCCTTAGAACCAATCATTAGAATTTCCTAACTTCTAAGTACAAGGGGAAGTTATATTTCCCATCAAAGTGCATATTACAATACCAACATGGAACCACAGGAGAAGCCATGGTAGGACAACCGATCTTTCCACCTCATTTGGGCGCTCAATTCCTTGGGAGCAGAAAAGACCAATGGAAAAAATATGGCGGTTGTGAGCACATACCTTATCCCTACTCTCACCCCACCTAATACAATGTAATCTCACTGAGTGCTAAGGAAAGACCCATATAAAGGCTTCAGAGAAGTGCCAGAAGATTTTAATAAACTAATGCAGAATGAAATAAGCTAAGCAACAGATACAATGACTAAAAGACTGTAATGTAAAGAATGCAAAAAGAAGTAGAACTTTGATTAACTGTAATAACCAATCTTGGTCCTTGAAAATAGGTAACGAAATCTATCTTCTCAATAGTGAGATGGGGAAGTCTAGGGGCAGAACACTGCAGACATTGTCAGACAGTGGTACTATATTGGTTATTTTTACTTAAGTGTTATAAGGGGATGGTGATTTCACTTCTAGCATATAGGTGAGAATACTTATCCACAAAAATAAAAATTAATACCTAGCATTTATATGCTGCTTTAAGGCCTGCAAACCTTTTTTTATAAATATCAGTTTTTGTCGTCACAACAACCTAGGAACGTAGGTGCTTTTATTATCCACATTTTATAGATAAGGAAACTGAGGCAATGATTAAGTAACTTGCCCAGGTTCATATAAGTGTTTGAGGTAGGATTTGAACTCAGATTTTTTTGACTCCATGTGTAGAGTCTATCCACTATGCCACCTACCTGAAATTATTGTGTTGTAAGAATAAAAGTCATCAATAAATTGATTTAAAAAAAAGATAAGCTTCTTGAGAGCAAGACATTCCATGTTGTTTGGCCTAAAGTAGGCACTTGGCAAATGTTTGTTAGATTGGAACCCAAGATTGCCTAGTACCTTGCAGAATGGGTACCCCCCTTACCACCTCTGTCCAGTTTTCAGAGCAGCCTGCTCAGCCCAGTTCATGCAGGACCTGCTACTACTGGGACTTACCATTGATAATCCTGGCCACCCGCCAAAGTCGGAGAAGGATCAGTAAGCCGAGGGCTTCAAAGGCGTGCTCTTGGAACACAAGGACGATGTCCAGGACAAAAGAGATAATCACAATAACAGCATCCAGGATCTCAAACTTGTGGTAGAAGAATTCCTTGCGGAAGACATATAATTTTAATGCAACTTCTGACATGAAGAGGGTCAGGATGGCGATGCTCAGATAGTGGAATACCTAGAAGAACAGGCAGGGAGCCAATAGTCAAATTACACCTACTCTGGGCATCACCACCACCACCACCACAGCCAGCATCATCATCATCATCATCATCGGTCTCCCTCCTCATCTCCTCCCGCAGGCTTCCTGCAAATCTAAAGTAGAATCCCATCTTCTCCAGAAAGCCTTTCTTAGTTCCTCTTAGTTCTAGCACCTTCTTTCTCTTAATTACATCCTAGTTGTTGAGCGTTGAGCTTATTTTTACATATTTGTTTGCTCATAGGCTCCTGGAGAGCAGGCACTATCTTCATTGACTGACTGACTACCTTACAAAGTTGTGAAAATCAAATGAGATGACACATATGAAGTGCTCTGTCAACCTTACTGTATCAAATAAGTGCTATTTTTATTAACTAATATTCCAAACAACTGAGCAGATTGCCTTTGAGGTAGTCATTTCTCATCCTGTGGTCAACCTGGGGATAAGCCTGTCTGAAATTAGCTAGATGGAGACACTTACTGGTGGAGGAATGGTCAACCAAGTTTCCCTATGTAAATGCGATGGGATATTACTGTGCCTAAAAAAATTATGAATTTGAAGAATTCAGAGAAGCAGAATCAGGAAAACAACATACGCAATGACTACACCAACGTAGTCAGTCAGCAAGCATTTACTGAACACCTACTATGGGCCAGCCACTGTGCTAAGCATGGGAGATGTAAAATAGCAATAGAAAAATTTAAATTGAGCACTCTTTAATTGTAATGACCAGGATCAGTCCCTGGAGAAGAGTGGAGAAAATTGACCTCCATCTCTTCTTTGCAGAGGCAGGAGATCATGAGTGTGGTACATATATTATATATTTGATGGGCTGAATATATTATTATATATGACTGATATGTTGGTTGGTTTTGTTGAACTGGGTTTTTTTCCTGTTTTTCTTTTAATTTTTTTTCTTAAAAGTGATGTTGAGGGGCAGCTAAGTGGTGCAGTGAATAGAGCACCTGCCCTGGAGTCAGGAGGACCTGAGTTCAAATCCAGCCTCAGACACTTGATGCTTCCTAGCTGTGTGACCCTGGGTGAGTCACTTAATCTCAACTGCTTAGCCAAAAAAAAAAAGTGATATTGGCTGAGGAGGAAAGTGAGGAATATATATTTGGAAATAAAGGTGATGTAAAAAAAGATATTAAAAAAATTTTTTTCAAGAAATTACCTAGGCTGGTCTCAGAAGACAGGTATACAGTTGCTTTCAAAAGCGCTGGGTCAGCTTCCCACCACTTTGAAGCATCAGAGAAGGGACATGAGGGGAGATTCTTCTCTTACTCTAAAACATGGTCTAGGCCTTAGTTAGTGATCGATTTTCTGTTAATGCTTCTTAACCACAAGGACTCCACTCCATAACCTGCATGACCACTGAGAAACTTGTATGTCTGCTTCCTTCTGCTGATAAAATGAACTCTCGTGCTCTGTGCATCTGTGCATCTCCAGAGACTCTCACTTTCAGGTAAAAGGAATACCCAATGTTATTTTAGGGCTTCCTCTAAGCACAAGTCCCACCTTCTTCTGACATTCATCACCTCCCTTAAGAATTGGTATAATGAAGGTACTTCCTCTAGGAAACCCCCTCCTCCATCTCCATCTATCTTTACCCCTCTTTCATTCTGCATCTTCTTGGCTACTTAGATGATCAAGTTAGGAGTTCTCGGTTTTATCCTGCATGGCTCATCACTTTTGTGTTCTTGTTTATGTTGGTTGGGCTGCCCACAGTAAATTAATTTTTCCTTTCTATTCAAGACAGTGGGAACTGTATTATTATTATTATTTATAATAGTACTAGTGGTAGGATTAATAGTAGTAGTACTAAGAGTAGTAGTGATGGTCGTAGTAATAGTAGTTCTATTAACAGTAGTAATAACAGTAGTGGTGTTGGTTGTGTTGATAGTGGCGGCAGTAGCAATAGTAGTAGTAGTAACAGTAATAGTGACAGTAGTGATAGCACTAGCAGAACAATAGTTGTAACTGTAGTAATAAGAGCAGCAATAGTAACAACAATAGTAGTAACAGTAAGAGGAGTAGCAACAGTAACAGTAATAGTTGTGGTGGTGGTGGCGAAACCCAGAGAACCTGGGTTTAAATCCAGTCTCTGATGCTTGTTAGTTGTGTGACCTCGAGCAAATCACTTACCCGCCCTGGACATCTATCTCATCATTTGTAAAATGAGCAGGTGAGGGCAGAGGGATGGACTAGGTGAGTTGTACAGACTTCTGCACACATTTTCTCCATCAGACTGGGAGCTGCTTGAGGGCAGGGACCACGTTTGCCTCTCTTTGTGTCCCCAGTAGTTAGCACCACACCAGTAGGCACTTAACAGAAATACTTGGTGTATTTGATGGGATCTCTTCTGGCTCTAGTTCTATGAGCTGTTTTACCTTGCTGCTTTTTTTAAGCTGCTTGAGGTCAGAGGCTGTTTCGTTTCTGTCTTTCTGTACCTAGCACCCTGCACGTAGAAGAAAAGGAGAGGGCCTGGACCTGTGATTTTACTGCTGCAGGGGAAACTCCCTCTACTAACGTGGGCTGCCACCTTTTCTGCAACTCATAGACTTAGGGAATATCCCAGAGCCCTGAGAGGTTAAAGGACTTGGCCATGGTCACACAGTCAGTATGTGTCAGAAGTGGTTCTCGAACCTGGCCTCCTAGGTTTGAGGCTGGCTCTGCATACACTACATTCATTAGACACATAGCAGATGCTTTAAAAATGTTTGTTGAATTGAGAAAGAGCAGACTGGCATTCCAAGCCATGAAGATGGCGACCCTCACAACTTCAATGGGAATCAAGAGATAAGAAACTAGAACTTCAGAAACAAGAATCGTGTTGAACACTGGCCGCTTATATTGATAACAACTAGCATTTATACAGGACTTTAAGGCTTGCAAAGCACTTTACAATATCTCGTTTTATCCTGTGATTTTACTCTAGGATGTAGATGCTGTTATTTCCTTCATTTTACAGATGAAGAAACTGAGGCAGGCAGTTCCTAGTATTAGATACATTTTCTCTATATCCTCCCCTCTCCCAACTTGCTGTTTGTGGTGGGGAAATCAGAATAGTCCTCGTTCCCCCATCACCACTTTCAAATCCTCCCTTGAACACCTTCACTGGGCAACTTCCTGTTTTGAGATTCATGCTAGCCAAATCTGTCACTCAGTAGAAAATCCTGGTGGTTGTTAGCTATAGACATCCCCTCCCCACACCCCAGTCCAAGGCATTCTCTTTCTTCAATAAGTGCCTAGCTTAAAATTTTTCTTTTCTCATTTCTTACCCTCCCATAAGGGGACTTCAACATATAAAATGATAATCCATCAAACATGAATCTTCTTCATTCCTGAATTTACTTAGTTTCTGTGACCTTCTCCTCCACTCTAATTCAGCTGCTCATGGAGATGCTCACCCCCTTGATCCTGCCATCATGCCCAAATATTTCCATTTCCATGTTCTTGAACTCTGAAATTCCTTAGTCTGGTCATAATCTCTTATCATTCCATCTTTCCCTCTGCCTTACCCTGTTTTTTAACCTCACTGTGACCTCCAGTATCTCCATCCCTCAGCGATTTCTCAGGTCATCACCCCTGAATTGACTGGCTACCATATCTCAGTCCCTTGGAGAATCAATTCAACTCTACACTATCTTCCTCCACAATTCCCTTTGCCTCTCTGTCCAGAGTTGATTATCATACCTTACCAAGCTTGGACCCTGGAAGACTCCCACCACTCACCTCCTTCAGTCCTACTCATGTACTACTGAACCAAGTGGAAAGAAATCACAAAACATTACTGATTGGACCCACTACAAGCTGATGTTATCTCATCGCAACTGGGTCTTCATCGAAGCAAGACAAACTTTTTATTACTCTCCAATCGATTCACTATGCCCCCCTTCACTGAGGCTCTTCCAAACATTCTCATCTCTTCTCAATCCTCCCTACCCCTACCCTCTTAGCCTAGAACCTTGCCTCATGTTTCACAAAAAAACCCCAGGAAACTGTTAATGGAGAACTCCATCTTCTCCCCTCCTCCTTATCTCAAATTTCTCAGATATTTTCCTCTTTTATCTCCTCCTCTTCCCTGGTCTCTGATGAAGAAGTGGCCCTTTTTCTTGCCAGGGTCAACCCCTCTACAACTGGTTTCAATACTATTCCCTCCTATCTCCTCCACCAGACCTACAACATTACCATCCCTCAGCATTCTCTCTCAGCATCAAACTCTGTCTACTATCTGCTTCCCACTGCCTATAAATACACCCATGTCTCTCCCCCACACTCAAAAAAATCTTCATTCCCACCTCCTTCTCTCAGTTGAATTTCTTGAGAAAGTCACATCTGATCTGTGCCTCCACTCCCTCTCCAAATTTCTAAACCTTCTGCACTCTGGCTTCTGACCTCACCATTTGACTGAAACAGTGCTCCCCAAAATCATCACTGCTCTCCTAATTGCCAAATGGAATGGCCTCTTCTCAATCCTGATGCTCCCTGACTCCACAGCAGGATTTGCCATTTTGGGTCACCTCCTCCTCAATGCTCTCTTCTCTGGGTTTTCCTTTCCTGGTTCCTCTCATCTGGCTCACAGCTCCTTCTCAGTCTCCCTGGCTCCTCACTCATGCTACACTTGTGTCTGGCCCCTGAGGCTGTATCCTAAGCTCCTTCTCCTTTCACTGGAGATTGTTTCTCTTGATGATCTCATCAGCTCCCAATTCTATGCACAAGATTCCCAGATCTATGTACCCAGCCATAGTCTCTCTCCTGAGCTACAGAATCATGCATCCATGCTCCCTCTTGGACATTCCAAACTGGATGCCTCATAGACATCTCAAACTTACCATGTCTAAAACAAAACTCATTATCTTTGCCCTCCCAAACCCTTCCCTCTTCCTCATCATCCTGCTTCCAGTCATTCAGCCCAAAACCTTAATGTAATCCTAGACTCCTAGCTCACATCACTCAGTATATCCAATCTATCCATTGTCAAATCTTGTCATTTCTAGCTCTGCAATGTCCCTCAAAGACACCCCTTGTGTCCTCTGACACTGCCTCCACCCTGGGTGGCCCTCAAAGCCTTCCTCCTGGACTATTGCAGTAGCTGCTGGGGATCTGCCTGCCTCAGGTCTCTCCCCACTCCAGTCCATCCTCCTCAGCTGTGAAGATCATTCTTCTATACTGCAGGTGTGACTATGGCACTCCCCTGCTCTAGGAGCTCCTGAGTGCCCTCTTATCTCCAGGATCAAATCTAAAATCCTCTGTCTGGCTCATAAAGCCTCCATAAGCTGCCCCCTTCTTACTTTTCCAGTCTTCCTATACCTTCATCCCCTTCATACACTCCTCCAACCAGGTACACTGGCTCCATGGCTGTTCCTCACACACCACATTCCTCATCTCCAGATCTTTGCATTGGCCATCCCTCAGGCCTGGAATGCTTCTGGCTTCCCAGGCTTCCTCCCCACCTTCCCTCCCCTAGTACCAGTGCCTTCCCTCCTGAGACTCCCTTGCCTCTCTTCTGTAGACATCTCAAAAGTACGTATTTGTTGTATGTCTTTCCCATTAGAATGGGAACTCTTAGAGAGTAAGGACTCTGGGTTTTTCTCTGTTTTGTTTTGGCTTTCTATGTCCAGCACTGGGCATAGCACCTATCACTTGGTAAGTGCTTCATATATGTTTGTTGACTGACTGACTGACCATTTTTATCTCAATAACCTCAAATTAACATCCACACCCAAGGAAGCTTGAAGGGAAAGAGAAAGTATACGTAAAAGTAGAAAAGACCAGTTCTAACCATCTACCATGGTGATGGAGTCTGTGCAGGGGAAGGCATATGATTTCCAGTTGAGAGAGTTCACTGGAGCAGGAGATGAGAAGCCTGGACTCCAGTGAGACAATCTCTGAACACATGGGCAGCTTTCCCCCTGCTCCTGAGTCATCTTTCACAACAGGGCCTTAGGATTTATTCAGGGTGCTGTGACTTCACAGAGTTGTTTTGGACACATCTTTTTGGGAGGGTATGAGGTGGGGGTGGGGAATGGTGATTTCATCAGTGAAAGACAAGTCCTGAGTCAGAAACTCCCTCTACCCACGCCACCCAGGCCTAGATAGTTGCCTGGAGGCACCGAGAGCTTAGGATCATAGAATTAGAAGTGAAAGGACCTCACATACCATCTAGTCCAAGGGCCTTATTTTACAGATGAGGAAAATGATCCTCAGAGAACTTAGGTAACTGTCCACAGTCACACAGCTAATTAGCATCACAGGTAGGATTTGAACTCAGGTCTTCCTGACTCCAAGGCTGGCCCTTTATAAGAAAGTCTTTGAGAGGAATCCCTATTCAAGCACCAGACTGTTTGGAAAGCCTGGGGACATGCTCATTGGGGTGAGCTACTATGGGATAACCTGGGCCAGGAAGAGAGATAAAAGACAGAACAATGAAAAGACAAATAAGCCATCTATGGTGTACCCTGGCAGCATAGTTGTCCTTGTCTGACTGGATGATTTTCAAGTCTATCATCAGCTCAGCAAGCACCAGTAAGGCATCCATAATGACCAGGCAAATGATGATAACCTATGGGAAGAAGAAGAGGAAAATTGTTTTAAACTCTTCACAGTGAAAATGTCAAGTGATAAATACTTTCTTCCATATGTGAGAGCTTGGAGGTTGAAAGATTTGCTGTTGTTCCATTGTTTCTGACTCTGTTACCCCATTTGCAATTTTCTTGGCAAAGATACTGGAGTCATTCTCCATTTCCTTCTCCAGCTCATGTTACAGAATAAGAAACTGAAGCAATCAGGGTTAAGTGACCTGCCCAGGGTCACACAGCCAGGAAATGTCTGAGACTGGATTTGAACTCAGGTCTTCCTGACTCCAGGCCCGGTGCTCTATCTATTCTGCCTCCTAGTGGCACACAAAAATGATACGAACAGACTATTCTAAAAAATGGGGAAAACCCACAGATTGTTCCAATAAAAAAGTTTAAGCTCTTGTATAATGAGAAAATGTGAGTTAAAGCAACTCTGAGGTACACTTACACCTATCACAGCTGCCAAACCAGTTAAAGAAAGGACAAAGCCCAATGTTGGTGGGACTGTGGGAAAACAGGCACACAATTACACTGACAGGAAATGTGAATTGGTACAAACCTTCTTCAGAAGCACAAAAGTAATCCTTCAATGCACAATGAGAATTACCAAACTGATCCTACTTCAAGGCCCTGTGATCCCACTCCTGGAACTGTACCCTAAAGGTATCATTACAAGAGGCAAAAACAGACCTAGGTATTGTTATTTACTGGGAAATGGCCTGGAGGTTCAACCCTGGAGGGCACCTGGATTCTAAGCCCATCTTTGACAGTAAGTAAGGGCAACTCACTAAACCTCCAGGAGTGTCTGTTCCCTGCTCTACAAAGGGTATTATTAAACCTGTAGAACCTATGCCATAGGGTTACTTTGGGGCTGAAAGCAGATGATGTATGCAAAGCTCTTTGTAAACCCTTCATTATATGTGTGTGTATATAAATGATTAATTATTAAAATATATTGTATATTTTCTGTATTACATAAGAAATACATTAATACAAATAATACTATAGTACATTAATATTGCATGCATTAAGATAATGAAATGTTGCTGTGTTACAGAAAATGGTAAATATGAAGAATACAACAGAAAATAGAAAGACGAAGAGATACCATGGCATTCTGGATAGAGAATTCCCTTCAGAACTAAGAAGACCTGTACTCAAATTCTGCCTCATCTATGTACTGGCTGCCATGGAATGCTGGGGAAGTGACTTCACTCTCTCAGTGCCCCAGGTAACTCTAAGAGCATGCGTTGCCTTAATGAAGAGAACTTTATCACCTGTGCCAGTAAAATCACAGGTCCCTCTGTTCCCCCACCCAAATTAAGATATGGAAAGATAAATGATACAGAATGAAGAAAGCAGAATTAGAACACACTGATTACAGCTTTGTGCTTTGTTTTAAAAAGTCAATTGACAGTTAATCAACAAAAATGTAAGTACCTACTGGAGATAAAAAGATGAAAAAGAATAATAGCAACTCAATCCAAAAGTGAAAAAAATTACACAGAAGGTAAAGAGACCACGAGGGAACAGAGACATCAACAAACTTTTCTGTTATTATTTTGTCAATGTGAATGAGTCTCCTTTTATAGGTGATTTTCAAACAATCTCAGTTTTACAGTTTTGATCACTTGGGTTTTGTTTTTGTTAATGGGCACTGAATTGGCCATTTCTGATTTAAAAAAAAAACCTAGGAAAGCAAGAAGAGGTTGGGGCAGGAGAGCTTCTGAATTGGCACACTCTCAGTCTCAGGACCTGCAAAGAAAAGAGCCACACCACTGCCCTGTCTGGGAGCTGACAGATGGGGCCACCATCAGCCTCTATGACTGAAACCAAAGTCCTACTTCTTCCAGTCAGGCTTCTGAGGTTCCTCTGGTTCATTCTGATCCCATCCTGCTCTGATCTCATCCAGCTTCAGCCTATAACCTCACTCCATGCCCTGCCACTTTCTCTAATTCCCTCCATGACCCCTTCTCTTCCTAACATCTTCAATCTCTCCCTTTCCACTGGCTCTTTCCTCCTTTGCCTGCTCACGTCTGCCCAGTCCTCGGAAAGCGTTCCCTCAACCCTGCCTACCTATGGGGGGGGGAAGCAAAGAAGAATTTATATAGTTCCTATCTATGTCAGGCACTGTGCTAAGTGCTATACAAATATTATCTCATTGCTCCTGGCAGGTAGGTGCTGTTACTATTCCCATCTCACAGATGTGGAAACTGAGGCAGATAGAGGTGAAGGGACTTGCTCAGGGTCACACATCTAGGAAGCGTCTGAGGCTGGATTTGAACTCAGGTCTTCCTCACTCCAGGTCCAGCACTCTGTGCACTGTCAGCCAGTTGCCCACGTCTCAGGTACCAGCCCAGCTCTTGGTACCCCTTCCCCACCAAAGCTCTACAAAGTCATTTGTCATTGCTGCCTCCAGTTCCCCCCTCCCACCTACTCAACACCTTACAGGCACCAACTACATTTTTACAAGATAGGAGGCAGAGGGGACAGTGAATGTAGGACTTGGAGGGCCATCCCAAGGGGAAACACCTTGAGTTTACGCCACTTGAGGCTGGATTGAGGGAACAGGGCAGTGCGGGGGAGGGGGGTGTTTAAGCTGAAGAAGAGAAAATTCAGGGAAAACAGGCTGTCTTATCTTTGAATCCGCAGGACTCGACCTAGAGTTGGCCCTTCCTAAACTGTTGATTGATCCATTTCTTGATTCCAGTACATTAACGGCTGTCCAGTGGAAGAAGAATTTGGCATTTTTTTCCTGCTTGGCCCCAGAAAGCAGGCACGGGAGCACCGGTCCCAAGCTGCAAGGACTTAAGTGTAGTCTGGATGTCAGGGAGAACTTCCTAACTGCGGGTCTTACCCAAACACGGACTGGGCTGCCTTGGAAGGTGGGGGAGGGTCCCCTCACGAGAGAGCTTCCAGCCAAGGCTGGAGGACCATTTGTCGGGTGGGTGAGAGTGAGACACAGGTGGGACTAGATGACAGCTGAGGTCTCTTCTGATTCTACAATTCTGTGATGGGACTGGTGAGGAAACCAAGGCAGCATGGGGGAGAGGAAAAGTGTGTTGGGCTTGGGATCAGAAGAGGCCTGTGTTCAAATTCCGCCCTTCCTCTGAGCTAGTGTTGTGACCTTTTGCCTCTCTGTGCCTCAGTTTCCTAATCTGTAAAATGTACACAAGGATCACTACCTATCTCACAAGGCAGTTGTTAGGAAAGTACTTTGAAAACCTTAAAGTAACATAGAAATTGGTTGTAGGATCATTGATGGTGTTTTTAGGGCTCAATCAAAGTCTCTGTTCCTTCTTGGCACTTCTCAACCTCCCCTGGAGCAGCCTTCCCTTCCCCCCTTTCTAGCTCCTCATTACATGTTGTCTTCCCCCAGTAGAAGGAAAGCTTTGTGAGGATAGTGACTGTGTTGTTTGCTTGTATTTTTATCCCCAACACTGAGCACAGTGCCTGGCACACAGTAAACACCTAATAAATGCAGGCTTGCTCACTCATTCTTTTCTTTCTCTCTCCACCTTTCCTCTCTGTCTCTGTCTCTCCTTCCCTCCTTCTCTTGCTCTCTCCCTCTCTCTTTTCTCTCCCCCACCTCCGTCCTTAAAGGATACTGAACTCAACCCCTTGAGTTTATAGATCAGTAAACCGATTCCAGGGAGGATTTGGTGATTTGCCCAGGCTGACTCAGTTAATAAGCATCAGGGGTGGCATCTGAACCCAAATTCTCTCTGCCTATAAATCAAGGGCTTTTCCCACTATACTGCAAACAGGACCATTGTCCCTTCTCCTCTTCTATTTCCCCACGGTGCCCAGCACAGCACTAGGATACTGTGACTGAATGAAAAAAATGTACGTAAAGAGTGTGCAACCTTATTATACACTTGCTTAATTCTTTTCCCTCAGCCCTGCTTCCCAAGGCCCATTCTGGGTGCAGGTTCTGGCCAGGGTTGGCAAATGAAACCCTGTGGTCCAAGGTCCCTGGGGAGGGGTGAGTCCTCTTGGCCACATGCAGGTCCATTGGTGGGCTGAGCCCATGTCTTGGAGTGATGGAGATGACTGCAATGGGATGCTCCTCCCGAGTTAATATTGTGATTCTCTGCTCGTCACAGCCGCAAGAGGGATGTGCTGATCCCAGACTGGAAATGGATTTTTGGTCAGCCTTATTTCTCTCTAAGCCCCAGGATGGGGAAAATGTGTTAAGAGCTGAACAATGACAGTGATAGAAGAGAAACAAGGCTCCGCCCACCCCCAGGTATAGTGGAAATGACATCTGCATAATCTGGAGAATTGGGTTCATTTCTATTTCTAGCAGTGTGCATGCCTAGAGGCCTATGACAGGGTCACAGAAAAAACCGTTTAAGAATTAATCCTGACAGTTGCTTCATGGTTCCTCAGCCTCACAGAGTATTCTGTGTTCAACAGGGATGCTGAGAGCTGCAGGGACATGCTCCCTGTTTCACTCCTAGGCACAGGCAGAGATCAAACATAAGAAGGAAAAGGAAGGCTCAGAGAGGGCAAGAGATCGTCCAAGGTCACAGCAGGCTGAATGGGTCCACCTTGCCAGCCCATATCTAAGATCCTTATTCACCATGGCCTCTTCAGTGTCTCTCCTTTCCTCACCTGACAAATGAGGGGATTGATCCTGATGATTCCAGGGGCCTCCCAGCTCAGACATTTAGTGTCCTGATATTCACGCAGACTCTAACAGGTTGTAGTCTCTCCCAGCTCTGACATCCCCTGTTCTAAGGCCCCTCCCAGCTCTGACATTCCCTATTCTAAGGACCTTCCCAGCTTGGATGATCTGTTTTAAGGTTCCTTCCATTTCTGACATTCCAATTCTAAAGAGGAAAATGGGAAGTGGGCAGAACAGGTAGCACACTTATTTTCTCTTTTTTAATAACAATGATTATGATTGTGATGATAACAAAAATTCTTGGCTAAGATGGCCTTTAAATGCTCTGAACTTTTTAAAAATTCACAAGTATAATCTGATTTTCCAGTTTCAATAGCCTTGCGAGATAAGGGAGGGCAGGTTGTTTTCATCTCTACTTTATAGATACTGAGGTTAGGACAAGGTGCTTGACTGCCCAGTAGCCAAGACCTCCTGACTCTCACATATAGACCTTCCCCCCCACCTCCATCCCGCTGATCCAGCTCTCAGTGGGACCTACCTGAAACCTGTGGGAACTGAAGAGCTTCCTCATCACAGTCCTGAAGTCTGGGGCAGCTTTTGGAGGGGCGACAATCTCCCCAGGAGCGTCAGCGGGGCTGCCCTCGGCCGCAGGAGCAGCAGGTGCTGGAGCCGGAGCTGGTGCTGCTGGCATCTGTGGCTGCTCATCCTCCTCATCCTCATTGTCCCATCTCTTATATCTGGTATTCCATTTGTAGTGGTCGTCGCCGACCACGGTGAAGTGCCTCAGGAACCTGGACATGGCTCTGGGGGAGCCGCCCTGGGAAGGTGTGGGGAGAGAGGAAATAGGTTTCAGCCCAGGTTACCCACACCAAGTTTGAGAGAGGGGGGTGGGGTGGGGAGAGACAGACAGAGACACACACACAGAGACAAAGACAGAGACAGAGACAGAGACAGAGAGAGAAGAGAAACAGAGACAGAGAGAGAGAAACAGAGACAGAGACGGAGAGACAGAGGCAGAGATAGACAGACACAGAGAGAAAAAGAGACAGAGAGATAGAAACACAGAGACAGAGACACAGAGAGGAAGTGACAGAGACAGAGAGAGATGGAAACTCAGACAGACAGACAGACAGAGACAGAGAGAGAGAGAGAGACAGAGACACGTGTGTAAGGGCTGGGCTGGGCCCTAAATGCGGATAGTCAAACAGTAGAAAGAGAAGAGAGAGGAGAGGGACTGTGTGGGACCCAGAGCTCAAGGGTTCAAGGAGTTTCTCTTGTTCTCTTATTTTGGGACTGAGGCGCTTTATAAACACCTGGCAGCAGGAAGCCCCAGTCTGCCCTTGTGGTTTGCCTGGTTGTAAGCAAAGGGCTTTATTCTGCAGTCCAATCATACAATGCACAGGGCAGGGCCGGGGGAGAGGGGGATGATGCTGTTAGGTGGCCCCCAAGCCCTATGTGCTGGCTGTCTACAGGAAAAGCTGTGGGTCACGGTTCACAGGTGACCACATTCTGAAGAAGCAAGCATGTACTTTGGGGGTGGAAGTGGAAATGGATGGAGGGTGGGGTGGAAGATGACAATAAAAACCACACAGAATTCTAAGGAAACAGGCACGTGTAGACTTCCTTTTAGACAAGAGTCAGGTTCCTGAAAGGTAGAGAATAAACAGAATTTTGACCAATTTGGCCATCTGGGGCCTCTTGTAAAAGAGCCAAGGATGCTGGTTTTTAAAAAAGCAAGCCTACAGTAAAGCAAAGCATCCTTTTGTAGAGCAAACAACATTTCCTCCTCCCCACGCCACTTGGTTTAGACTTTGTGTGAATCCAGATGGTCATCAATTGGTTTCTTGAGCTAGAATAGACTTGTCCTCTCTTGCCTTTGGAGCATGGCTCTAGAATTGGAAAGGACCTTCTTGGCCGCCATCTTGTTCAGGCTCTTCCAATCCAATCTAACAAATATTCATGATGTTGGTTCATGATCTTGGGCCAGAGCCTGTGCTAGGCTCTGGGAGTTAAAAGGGAAAAAAAAAATTCCCGGCCTCAAGGAGCTTACACTCTCCTGGGGAGTAGGGTGGGGAGGGGAGTTGATATTTTATTCTCAAAGCAACAGATATCCTTTGAAGATTCTTGAGTGACGTGGTCAGATTTATAATTGAGGAAGATTTTGACAGCTGTGTGGAGGGTTAATCAGAGAGAAGAAAAATTGTTCAGTTGATGGAGTCATCTTCATGACCCCATCTGGGGTTTTCTTGGCAGAAATACTAGAAGGTTTACCTCTCCCTTCCCTACCTCATTTACAGATGAGGAAAGTGAGGCAAAAAGGGTGAAATGACTTGTCCAGGGGCACACAGTCAGTGTTGGGGGCTGGAATTGAACTCAGGTCTTCCTGACTCTAGGCCTGATGCTCTATCTATTGAGCCACCTCGCTTCCTGACTAGCTAAGAGGTTACTGCAGTTGCCGAGGTGAGATGTAATGGGGTGGTAGTCATGTAAGGTGGGAAAAGAGGACAGACATGAAGGATGTATGAGTAGGATCAACAAGGGTACTGGGATACTGGGAGTGAGCAGCCTGCTGAGACCATTCCTAAGAGGAGTGGAAGATGGGGTCAAATGCTACCTTGCGTGTGAGATCCTCAGGACTCACGCATATTGACATATCAAATTTTTTTTATTAATGCATTACCGTTATAATCATATGGGAACTACATTTTCAGGCTATCAGAGGAGTGTCTTGGGCCGCATGTGGCCTGGCCCACAGGCCATGCATTTGATCTCCCTATTCTGGTGTGCTGTTTGTGTAAGAGAAGTAATTGGGTTAACATTCCCTCAAGAGTTCTGTCTTTCAGGATGTTATTGATTGGGCTGGTTTGCATTTATGAGAAGGAGACATAAGCAAATACTGAGCAAACCACTAAGCTTAAAATTTCAACTGACACCATTGGGTGAAGAGTGAACAAGGTGCGGGAGTGGGGGGGGACAAGACCAGGAAACATGGCGCGGGGTAGCAGATTTCTTCAGTCAAGTCTCTTTCCTTTCCCTTCCTCTTCCCACCCCTATTACTACCCCCCTCTCAACTTCTTTTGGAACATCAATTCTTTGCATTTACTTGGACATCCCTGGGGGTACAAGAAGAAGAGTCCTACCACGAGGGTAGAGCATTTAAAACAAGGGAAGTAGGCCTTCTTCTGCCCACTGGCCTGGTCAGATCGTGTCCAGAGGCTGGCGTCCATTTTGGTTGCCCTGTGTTGTTAGGAAGGCCATTAATGAGCCGGACCATCTCTGGTGGAGGGAGATGAAAATAGTAAGGGGCCCAGAGATGATGGTAGCTTTGAGAACAGAAGTCAAGGATGGGAAAAAGAGGAGCTGGAAACTATCTAGTGGCATTTGAAGGCTTGTCATATGAAAGACAGTTTCTGACTTAGTCTGCTCCAGCTCAGAGGTCTGGACCATGAACAACCCAGGGATGTTTCAGAGAGACCGACTGAAGCTGAATTGAAGGAGAAAATTCTCCAGGTATTGAAGCTGCTCCAAAGAGTCTGGCCTCAAACACCAACTGACTGTGTGACCTTGGGCAAGTCACTTCACCCTGTTTGCCTCAGTTTCCTCATCTGTCAAATGAGCTGGAGAAGGAAATGCTAAACCACTCCTGTATCTCTGCCAAGAAAACCCCAAATGGGATCAGAGAGAGTCAGATATGACTAAAAACAACTTAACAACACCAACAAAAAGTGTCACAGGCCACCTCAGGAGGAGAGTGGACTCCTTTTCACTGAAGACTTTTGAGCAGAGGTTGGAATTCTTCTTTGACTCCAAAACTAAGGTTTATCTCAGCTCAGCTTTGTGTCCTATGTCATTTGCCCCTTCACTGGGCCTTAGTTTTCTCATCTGGAACAGCTTCCTGTTAGCTTCCTACCTTTTAAACCAAAAAAAATTTTTTTATATCTATTTTGCTTCACACAGGGTGATATATTAGGATCAGGGTCCACAAAATGCTTGTTTTTGCAAACAGCAGTATTTTTTAAATTATGAAATCAATATTGAGAGGCATTTTGAAAGTTTATTTTTTCAATGATGTCTAAGGAATGCTGTCATTGACATTAAAAAAAAAAAAACGACCCATGCAGTGAAGCAGAAAAGATACACAGAACAGCCAGCAAGAAGATGTTGTACGGTTCTAAGAACTGTCTAAATAAGTTTGTTTTTAGAAATGCAGGCAGTTTGGCCAGGCATGGTAGCACACACCTCTAATCCCTGATACTGGCAACGCTGGGGCTGATGGACCTCCTGTGCTCAAGAGTTCTGAGCTGCAGTGGGCTAGAGGCAACTGGGTGTCTGCACCGAGTCTCGCACTAATAGAGTGAGCCTCCAGACTGAGCAGAGGGCTATTGGGCTGAGGAAGGGGAGCTGAACCAGCCCAGGCTGGAGACATAGAGCAAGTTAAAGTTGGTACACCAATCACTGTTAGGAGCGGGGCCAAGAGTCTGGGTGAGATGGGGAGACCCAGTCTCAAATAAGAAATGCCGGCAGTTCTCTATTACACAGGGGCTGATCATCCAAACGGTGGCTTGAACATGCGCGTGGCTTCTCCTCCTTCACTTTCCACTCCTGATCTTTGGGCCATTCCCCTACACTAGACAGAAAAGATATCACAGGATCATAAATTTGATTAGAGCCCTTGTTCGTGTATCTAGACCAATCCTCTTGTTTTACACATGGGGAAATCGAGACTGAGAGATCGGAAGTGAAATGTCTGAGATCACATGGGTTGCAAGAGGAAGAGCCAGAATTTAAATAGTCTCAGACTCCAAATCTTTTCACTCCAGCAGGAAGCCTCAATGGGTATGCAGCCTTTCTGAGAGGCCCAGGAACAAGAATGGAGAGAATGGCTATCAGGAGCCTCTTGGCATGCCTTCACATTTGAGGTGAGCGGGGATGGTTTTTATTCCATTTTTCAGAAACTTCCCATCCGGGCTCAAGGCCGGGGAAGTAACAAGCTCAGTGGAAACCACCAGTCTGAGTACATCTGGATGCAGCCTGTCTTCGTGGCCTAGATTGTCACCAAGCCTGGCCACCAAAGTGCCTGGCCACCAAAGTTCCTGCGCCTTCCTCACTTCAGAGAACCATCCAGATGGGAGAGTTTTCTCTTGGGCTTCTGTCTTTCAAGCAAATGCTTCCTTCTCGAGTCACAGTTAGGAGAGAATCTGTCCTTGGGGACGGGGCAGGGAGAACAGGACTGAGCTCTGTGGTGCACAGGAACACAGCTGCCCGGGACCCTTACCAACGCTTGGGGCTCAGATTAGGTGGAATGCTTTTTTTCTTTTTCTAAATCAGGGAAGTCTTTAAATAAGTGTAACAAACTTTCCTTTTTAAGGCTAGAGAGGAAGTGTGAGGTCCATGAAGGGCGACCATAAATTTAGCATGCCAACCCACGTGATGGGGTGGGGAGGCCCTGGTACAAAGAGTCTGAGAGGGGGAATCCCCCTGGGCCTGGAGCCCAGGCTGCAGCCTGTCATTCTAGCGCCTACCCTGAGGTCATCCTCTGCAAGTTGCTTCCATTTTTTTGTACCTCATTTTCCCCATCTACTAAGGTACTGCTTCAATTCAATTAAATCCAACAAGCATTTATTAACCACCTACTATGGATGCAAGGGCAAGTGAATAGAGTGCTGGCCCTGGAGTCAGGAGGACCTGAGTTCAAATCCAACCCTCTAAGGTGTGTGACCCTGGGCAAGTCACTTAATCTTATTTGCCTCAGTTTCCTTATGTGTAAAATGAGCCAGGAAGGAAATGGCAGTATCTTTGCCAAGAAAACCCCAAATGGGGTCCTGAGGAGTCAGACATAACTGAAGAAGTCATGGACCCCTTTGGCAGTCTGGAGAAGCATATTTACTGCTCCAAATCATATGTTCACATATGAATATCTTATATTCACAGTTGGAGGAAATGCTAAATTTTAGGCAGAGGTTGGTGAAAATGAAGATTTTTTCCCCATCCCAGTTCACAGATCTCATGAAATCCACCTATCCATCCCTTTGGGGGTCTGTAGACCTCTGCTTTACGGCTATGATACAAAAATTTTAGATGTGTCACTAATAGGTTTGGGGGATGAGAGGATTGGCAGGAATCTTCCCTTCCTTTTTATAGATGAGGAAACTGAGGCCCAGGGAATGAAAGTCACTTGCCCTGGGTCACACAGGTACTAAGTGGCAGAGTCTGGATTTCAACCCAGGTCCCTGACTCCAAGTTCAGCGTTCTTGCTATTATACCACACCACCTGCCAGTAAGCCATATTATCTTTATTTTACAGATGGGGAAACTGAGGTCTGGAGAAAAGAAGAGACTTCCTTGGAACAGATTCCTTCTCCCACTCCAAACTCACACAGACTAGGGCTGATCAAGTTTATGGAATCATAGAATTAGGCAGCAGGAAAAAAAAAACTTGACTTCATAATTCACTTTGAGATCATCTGTGAAGAGGTGTGTTTTGTTCCTGTGGGCCTTAAAATATCTGTCCCTCCACCTGACTCACGTCACCTGGCATGTTCTTCCCTGGCCTCCTCACCTTCCTCCTACTTCAGCATCTCTCCCCCAACCCCCTTTTCACTGCTGGACTTTTTGCTGGAAGGTGACTTACCCAGAATTTTACAGATAGAATATGTCTGAGCAGAGACTTGAACCCAGGTTCCCCTGATTCCCAGTCCAACCAAATGAACCTAATTTTGTTCTTGCTCCTCTTACAGACTTACAAAAAAAGGTGGGGAGGGGGCAAATAAAGCAGAGAGGCTGGCTCTGATGCTTACTAACTGGGTGAGTTTCTCGACCCTCTTTCAGTCTGTTTCCTTGTCTCTAGAATGAGGCTAATAGTGCTCTGAATCCCCTGTCTTCCATGGGGAAGAGAAGAGAGTAAGCATTTGTATAGCTCCTAACATGTGCCAGGCACTGTGCTAAGTGTTTTATAATTCATTATCTCATTTGAGCCTCATTACAAACCTGGGAGATAGGTACTATTATTGTTATCCCCATTTTACAATTGGGGAAACGGAGGCAAACAGCGGTTAAGTGACTTTCCCAAGGTCACACAGCCAGTAAGTGTCTGAGGCTGGATTTGAACTCAGGTCTTCCTGATTCCAGGCCCAGTGTGCCACTAGCTGCTGTAGGTGTGCAGAGAAGCTCATTTTGGAAACCTTGAAGTGCTAGGGAGCATGTTCATCCTTCTCCTCTTCCTCATTGTTGCCTGGATGTTGTCTCTTCATCCTCACGAGGAACACTAGATATAGAAACTCCTTTTCTCCATGTTGATTAGACTGCTCATCTGGAACTTACAGTCTTAGAGAGCGGCCTCGGGGCACTGAGGCACTGACCCTTGTCCAGGGTCACACAGCCAGGTTGTGTCAGTGGTAAGACTTGAACCCAAGTCTCCCTGCTGTTTTCCTCTCCCCCCCCATTCCCCTGCCTCTATGGAGTCTTCCCGTCTGAATTCTAGTGATGAAAAATCTACTTGCCTCTTTTTCTTCTGTACCCATTTTTCAGCTGTTCCAGAATCTGGAAAAAAAGAAGAATGTGGTTGGGTTCTCTTGTGTAATACATTCATCTTAAATTAAAAACAACTTTGCTTTTAAGTGTTGTTTAGGGCATTTCTCCTCTAGGATTCTAATTCTTGGCTAGAAGGAATCTCAGAGACCATCTAATACAATTGCCTCATTTCACCGATGAGAAAACTGAATCCTAGGGAAGTTAAAGGATGTGCTCACAGCCTCAGAGGCAGGATTTGAATCTGAAGCCTTTGACCTGAAAGCTAGCTCTCTTTCCACTGTATTAGGGTTCTAACATAGTTTATCATTGCTCAGTCATTTTTCAGTCATGTCTGACTCTTCATGACCCCATTTAGGTCATACAGCTAGTAAGTTTTTGAGGCTGGATTTGGACTCAGGAAGATGAGTCTTCCTTATTCCAAGTCCAGAGCTCTATCCACTCTTTCCACCTACCTGCCCAATCTAGAGTTACTAAGACTTCAAAGTTGGAGTGACTTCCTGAAGCCCAGGTACCTGCCTGGCTTCCCCAGGGCACCCCAAATAGACCTTCAAATACTCCTCATCTTTGCCCTAAGCACACCCCTCCTCCACACTTCCTTGTTTCTGCTGAGGACCCTAGTATCCTCCCTATCAGTCACCTGGGACTCCTCCCTTATGTTCCCCCTCCCATCCAGTCATTGCCAAATCTTGTCAATTCTCCCTTCCCTCCAGGTGTGTTCTTTCCCTTCTCTCTACTCACACTTTCCACCACCCAGGTGAAGCTGGAGTCATCTCTTGCCTGGACCAATGTCATACCTTCCTAATAGCCCTTTCTGCTTCTAGTCTCCCCCTTCACCAATATATCCTGTGCATAATTATCAAAATAATCTTCCTAGGGCATAAGTGACCAAATCACTCCTCTCTGCTCAAAAAACAAACTCCAAACCTGCAGTGGCTTCCTACTACCTCTAGGAAAAAGGGACAATGACTAGCATTTATAAAGTTCATTAATCATCACAAAGCAATTTACAAATATGATCTCATTTGACAACCTTTCAAGGTAGGTGATATGATTGCCGCCATTTTCCAGGTGAGGAAACTGAGGCTAGAGGTTAAGTGACTTGTCTAGAATCATACAACTACTAAGAGGCAGGATTTGAACTCAGGTTTTTCTGACTCAAAGCTAGGATTTTATCAACTATGCTACTACCTCTAACCCTGGCATTCAAGGCTCTCCAAAGTCTGGCTCTGAATTACCTTTCCAGACTTAATAATTCACTTTCCTTCTCTTCGTGTACTCTACATTGCAAACTTGACTGGTAGCTGTTCCCCAAACTCAGTACTCAATCTCCTGCCTCAGGACACGTGCACTGGGCATTCCCATGCCTACAATGCACATCTTCTTCATCTCAGTGTCAGAATCCTTGCTTCAACACTCAGCTCATGTCTTCTCCTCCAGGAAGCCTTCTTCAACTTCCCCATTGATTAGGAAGTGTTCTCTGCCTTCCTATTTCCTATCATACTTATTTGTTTGGGAAACTAGGTAGCATAGTGGATAGAGTGTGGGGCTTGGAGTCGGGGAACATCTGAGTTCAACCCCAGCCTCAGACACTTACTAGCTGTGTGACTCTGGGCAAGTCACTCACCTGTTGTCTGCCTCAGTTTCCTCATCTGTAAAATGGAAGTAATAATAATAGCACCTGCATACCAGGGTTGTTGTGAGGATCATATTCACAACGTGTTTCAGGAACCTTTTACAGTTGCTAATTATTATTATTATTATTATTATTATTATTATTAGAGTCATGGACCCTTTTGGCAGCCTGGTGTCCTCACAATTTTTTTAAATCAAAAAAAATAATAAAATTACAAAGGAACTTAGTTATATTGAAATACAGTTATCAAAATATCTTAAACAAATAAACAAGCCCAGGCTAAGAACCCCTGGGCTAGATGGTTTCTAAGGTCCCTTCTGGCTCTTAACATTTCAGCTCAAATCCTGCCTCAGTCCTTTACCAGCTGTGTGACCCTGGGCAAGTCACTTCCTCTACCTCAGTTTCTTCATCTATAAAATGAGGAAGTCAGACTCAATGGTCTCTAAGGTCCCTTCTGGCTTTAAATCTATAGTCTTATGATTCTATTTCCTGGTAATAATAATAAAAGCTGCCATTTAAAATGATTTTGCAAACATTATCTCATCTGAGCCTCCGAGAAGGAGGTACTACAGGTATCATCTTCATTTTACAGAAGAGAAAACTGCAGTTCCATATAGAGTAGGTGTCTGATGTGGGATTAGAACTCAGGCCTTCCTGACTCCAAGTCCAGGACTCTATCTACTCTGTCATGCTCCCTTGACCTAGACATCTAACATGTACTGCTCCCCTCCCTCCCACCTCACAGCTTATCTGACATGGTGAATCCAAAATTAGTTTTGCTAATTAGTTACTTGAGATGACCAGTGGACCAGTAGGGCCTAGTCCCTTGACCCTAATGTTAACTGCTAGCAGACTTGGGTCAGTGCTCCAGGACTGCAGAGAAGTTATCAGCCTGTATTGGTAAAGGGAGTTTCCTCACTGGGGAGTTCCCTTGATCAGTGAAACGGCAGCTGGGTGGCACAGTGGATAGAGCGCTGGGCCTGGAGTCAGGAAGACCCGAGTTCAAATCTGCTTTCAGACACTTACGAGCTGGATGGTTCTGGGCAAGTAACTTAACCTTGTTTGGCTCAGTTTCCTCATCTGTAAAATGAGCTGGAGAAAGAAATGGCAAAACCACTCCAGTATCTTTGCAAAGAAACCCCCAAAAGAGTTCATGAATAATTGGACATGACTGAAAACAATTGAACTAGATCAATGAAATCACAAGTCCAGTTCCCATCCCTTATGAAAAGTATATTTGCTAATAGAGTGTAAGCCCCTTGAGGGCAGGAACTGTTTTGCGTTTTTCTTTGTATGGCCTGTATCTAGGGGGCTATCTCCAGTTGTCCTGATCTACATCCTGCCACTGGACCCAGACGTTCCTAAGGTGTGGGTATAATCTTGTCAGCTGCTCTACTTGATACCAGTGCCTTCCCTCCCTTGATTAACTCCAACTTCTCTTGCATAGATAGGTCCTTGAGGGCAGGGGCAGTATCAGTGGGAAGGATCTGGGATGATGTGGAGGCTGGGAATAGGAGTGATTAAAAGAAAGGTATGTTGTCAATACATAAATCACTGCCAGAGGCCCCCAAATATCTTAGCTCTTTTACTGCTCAACTAGAAAGAGCAGTCTGCTGAAGTGCTCTCCTCCACATCATGACCAGTGGTATAACGGAGAGTCTGTTGGGTCTGGGAGTCAGGAAGATCTGAGTTCAAATCTAGCCTCAGACATTTACTAGCTGTGTGACCCTGGGCAAGTCCCTTTAACCTGCTTGTCTCAGTAACTGTAAAATGGACTGTAATAATAGCACCTACCTCATAGGGTTGTGATGAGGATTAAATAAATGGACACATCTTCACTAACCTTAAAGTGTTATATAAATGCTGATATTGTTGTTGCTATTATTATTTCTTTACTGTATGGTTTCCAAGTCCACCACTGTACTGTAATCACTCTCAACAACCCTCTTTGTTGCTTAATCCAATGATCTTTTCCTCATTTCTTGATAGGAAGCTAGGTGGTGCAGTGGATAGAGTGCCCAGGGCTAAAGTCAGGAAGACCTGAGTTTGAATCCAGCTTCAGACTTACTAGCTGTATGGCCCTGGGCAAGTCACTTTACCTTATTTGCCTCAGTTTCCTCATCTGTAAAATGAGCTGGAGAAAGAAACGACAATCCACTCCAGTATCTTTTCTAAGAAAACCTAAATGGGATCAGCAAGAGTCTAACATGATTGAACAACTCTTCCTTAACCTCTTATCCCCGTTGACCACCCTCTCCTTCATTGGCTTGGATGACACTGGTGTCTCCTGGTTCTCCTACCTGTATGTTTCTTCCTTTTCCATCTTCTTTGTTGGTTCTTCATTCTCTTCCCACCTCCTTAGTGTGAAGACTGTCCTGGGCCCCCTTTTCTCTCTGTTCAACCCCAGCTCTCATAGGTTCAATGACCATCTCTCTGTAGAGGAGCCCCAGATCTCTGTGTTCAGTCCCCATCTTTCTCCTGAGTTCTAGTCTGGCATCATCAACTGCCTTCTGTTGAATTTGTATCCCTAGTGCCTAGCACAGTGTTTGGGTCATAGGAAGCACTTAACAAATGCTTTTGCACTCACTCATTCATTCATTTGTTCATTTATCCATCCCTTTCTGGATGTCCCATTGGTGTCTCAAATGTTCAAAATGAAACTTCAATCTTACCTCCAGACTTTCCTATTTCTGTGAAGAGTACCAGCCATCATCCTCTCAGCCACCAGGTTCATAACCTGTGGTCATCTTTAATACCTTCTTTGCCCTCATAACTAGTTTCTGAGACCTCCACAACATCTCTTTCAGTTATCTTTAATTAAATTAAATTAATTAAATTAAATTCATTTAAGTGCCTACTGTGTGTCAGGGATTCTTCTAGGTGCTAGGAATACAAAGACAACAATGAAAAGTCTCTGCCCTCAAGGAGGTTACAATTTATATCCACAACATCTCTCAAATCCATCCCTTTCTCTCTACTCACTCAGCTACCAATCCATTTCAATCCATTCTGACTATTAAAATAGCTGATAATTGGTCTCGGTAGCACTAAACTGGCAGGAAGTAGGAATGGCACTTAGTAGGTGCTTAACAAATATTCATTGATTGCTTGTCTCCAGTCTTTCCTTTTTCTGCTATTCTTGTTGTATGAAAGGTATGTTGTCAATACATGAACATTAAGTTCACTGTCAGAGGCCCCAAAATATCTTAGCTGTCTTTTACTTAGCTCTCCTTTTTCTGTTGTTGTTGTTAGTAATGTCTGACTCTTTGTGACTCCATTTAGGGTTTTCTTGGTAAAGATACTGGAGCAGTTTTCCATTTCCTTCTCCAGCTCATTTTACAGATAAGGAAACTGAGGCAAACAGGGTTCAGTGACTTGCCCAAGGTCACACAGCTAGTAAGTGTCCGAGGCTAGGTTTGAATCCAAGTCCCATTGGTGTCTCAAATGTTCAAAATGAAACTTCAATCTCACCTCCAGACTTTCCTATTTCTATAGGCCTGGTGTCTCTTATCCTCTACACCACCTAGCTGCCCACTCTCTTTCTCCCCTTTCTAATCAATCTATCTTTAGGTTTGAGTTAAGGAACCTTAACAGGTAAATTTGTTGTTCCAAAGTGGAATGGGCAGTGTCAGGAAGCCGTGAGTTACCCTTTCCTGGAGGTGCTATATTTCTATCTAGACATCTATATCTACATATATATCTATACCTACATATAGATCGATATATAGATATCTCTTTATAGATATATCTCTATAGACATAGAGATATATCTATACACACACACACACACATATATATAAAATATATAATAGATATTATAGAAGGGATTCTTTTTCAGGTGCAATGGCTGGAATGCTTTCCCTCTTCACCTCTGCCTTTTAGAATCTCTGGCTTCCTTTAAGACTTAGCTCACAGCACTCCTCCTCCTCCACCCTGTCCCAGATGCTAATCCTTTCCACCTCCCCAGGCACTTCCCAGTTCCTTTTGACTCTATATAAGTTGTCTTGACCATTAGAATATCAGTTCTTCAAGGTCAGGGATTGTTTTTAATTTTTCTTTGTATTTCCAGCACCTACCCTTCCAGTACTGGCGATGTAATAAGTGCTTGATAACTAACTGGCTGATTGATTGCTATCTGGACTGTCCAGTAAGTGCTTCATAAACACTCTTTGATTGATTGATATCCTGATATACAAATGTGCTTAATAAATACTTTTTGATTAATTGATCCTGACTATACAGTAAGTGCTTAATAATTGTTTTTGATTGATATCTTGACTATGCAGTAAGTGCCCAATAGTTGTTTTTTGATTGATATCCTGGCTATACAGTAAGTGCTTAATAAATGCTTTTTGACTTATTGATATCCTGACTATACAGTAAGTGGTTAATTAATGCTTTTTGATTGACTAGATGCCAAGGGTGGTTCCTTTCAGTTCTAGATCCGTGATCCTGTGATCATGTGGGGATTATCGGAGAGGAATTTATTCAGGGCATCCTAATGTCACATGCTTCCTGTCTGTTGCCAAATGACTACGGAGTTGTGCAAAGCTCCTTTCAAAGAAAGTTTTCAAAACCTCATGTTGCCTCATGCTCCGGTACCGTCCCATCACCAGCTTGCCTTCTCTTGCGTGCAGAGTCCTGTCTCCATTCCCCCAGCTTTCTCCCCAAGAAAAATCAAGTGAAACCCCAGCTTTACACAAGACAGAAGCTGGCCAAGGGGCCTCCCGGAAGCTTTGCTGATAGCACGTAACCGGGGCAAGAACCACCACCCACTAAGGACCCAGGGACTGGCACACTCCACCGCCTTTCCCATGGAAACTGCACCCAAGAACCTGCCAGTACAACATGGCAGCAGAAGGGAGGGCCAGCCATCCTCGGGAGCGCTGATTCCTACAGCCTTTGCACTTCCAGGCAATTAGTGGCTGGTTCCTGTTACTCCAAGAGCGGAGAGCATCTTCAACTGGGCGGCCAGTGACAAAGAAGTCTTGTTATTGTCCAGCTGTGTCTGACTCTTCATGACCCCATTTGGGGTTTTCTTGGCAGAGATCCTGGAGTGGTTTGCCATTTCCTTCTCCAGCTCATTTGACAGATGAGGAAACTGAGGTAAAAACAGTTGAGTGACTTGCCCAGGGTCACACAGCTAGTCAGTGTCTGAGGCAGGAAGATGAGTCTTCTTAACTCCAGGCCAAGGAGCACTTTGTCCACTATGCTACCTCAGCCTCCCCCATGAGACCTAAATATTTAACCTATGAGCTCCTGACTATAATCTTCTCAACAGTGGGGATATTTAGCAAATTATAGGATTTAGGCTTCAGTTTTCTCATGTGTAAAGTGAGGGGTTCAGACTAGTGATCACTGAGAAGGCCCCTTCCAGCTGAATCAATCAATCAACCAACCAGGTATTGTACCAGGGGTGCTAGGGATACGAAGTCAGATGTGAGAGAAGCTTACATCTGGGAGGAGACAAAATGTGTGTGTATGTATATATACACATGTGCCTATATATACTAAATATCTGTAAGTATATGTACCTACATACACGTATGTGTATATATATATATACAACATAAACTACATGCACATGAAAAATGCATACAAATAAATACAAAATGATTGGAAGGAGTTAGAAAGGCTTCATGTAAAGGATGGTTACTGTCAGCTAATTCTTGAAGAAATAAGAGTCCGAGAGGTAGAGTTGAGGCAGTGCGTGCCAGGCACAGGGGTGGAGGGGGGAGATAGAGGGCTATAAATAAGGTACAATAGGAAAGTCAGTATGACTGAAAGACAACCTGTGAAGGTCAGCAATGTGTCATAAAGCTGAAAAGCTCTAAATCACTTGTCCTGTGATTCTAGTTCTCCTTTCTGAGTCTCAGTCTAGTCATCTGTGAAATGAGGGGGCTGAAGCTGAGGACCTCCATGGGTCCCTTTTAGCTTAAAATCTTCCCATCCTATGACCTCAAGAGTTGAGGCAGCCTGGTAGAGAGAACAGAGGGATGTACACGCCCTAACACCTTTCCGGTGGAAATTGTAACCAAAGGCCTCAAAGCCTCTCAAGTAATAGGGTAGAAATCAGGAAGATCTGAGTTCAAAGTTTGTCTCTGATGCTTCCTAAGTAAGTGACCCTGGGCAAGTCACATAACTTTTTTGAACTTCACCTTCCTCATTTGTAAAATGGGAGTGATAATTTCTGAAGGAATAATAAAAATAATGATAGCTAGCACTTACATAGTGCCTACTGTGTTCCAGGCACTGTGCTAAGCTTTTCACAAAAGATCTCATTTGATCTTCATAACAACCTCGGGATGTAGATAATAATGATAATGATAATATAATAATAATATTTCTATAGTGCCCACTATGTGTCAGGCCCTGTACTAAGTGCCTTACAAATATTATTTCATTTGATCCTCACAACAATCCTGGCAGGGAGATAATAATAATAATAATAGATATAATGATGATGGCATTTATATATAGCACCTACTAAGTGTCAGGTACTGTACTAAGTACTTCACAAATATTATCTCATTTAATCCCTATAGCAACCCTGGGAGGTAGGGGCTGTTATTGTCCTCTTTTTACTGTACTCCCCCTCAGAGGGATGTTGCAAAAATCTAAAGAGATAATCAATCAATACGTACATATCAGTGATTATTGAGTCCATTGATTTCTTTCTATGGAGTGAAGCCCGGTGAGGGAAATCCCTTGCCTCTGGCCATACAGAAGGGCAGGAACTGAGCAGAGAGTGTGCAAAGGCCAGTTCAGGGCTCTTCCTGCTCAAAAAAGACTGCTCTGCAGGTCCTGTGGGTATTTCTATAATACTTTCAGGGAAAGCTTGAGCTTTGAAGGGACAAGGGTGGAGAAGGCAGGAGGTAAAGACTAGAGAAGCAAGATCCCAGGGGAGCTCAGCCATAGCTGGGCTGGCTGATCTTGGGCCACAAAGTCTCCTCTTCAGACCTAAGATTCTTCCTCTATAAAATAAGGAAGTTGGAGTGTACTCTTTATGAGGGGAATTCCGATTCCATTTTGTCTACTCTAAGGTTTTCCCAGTTCTATGAATGTATGTTCTAGGTCCCTTCTAGATGCTCCTTCCACTTCTGGAAGGTTTCAGTACAATACAATACAATATAGCTCTGACATTCTGTGTTCTAAGCTCTCCCATCTGACATTCCCTGTTCTACAGGCCCTGGCAATTCTCATATTCTACGCCTTAAGGGCCCTTGGACCACAAACGTTCTATGTTCTAAGATCTCTTCCATATTCCATGTCATTAGAACATAAGTTTCTAAAAAGCAGGTTCTGTTTTTATCTTCATAACTTCAGCGTCAAGCCTGGGCACATGGTAGGAATATTTTGTTATTCCCATACTCAAATTAATAAATGCTCCATGATTCGAGATCTTCATTCCAAGTTCTAAGGTCCCTCCCAGATCTGACATTCTCTAAGTTCTAAGGTTTTTAGCAGTTACTCTAGTCTTCATTTTTTTGGCCACAGGACTGATGTTTCTGTGGTGAGCTGGGTTGAGCTGGGCTGACCCATACAGTCAGCGTTCTCTCTTGTACCAGGCAGTGGGGGGGCAATTCTTCCTTCTGGAAACCCTCTCGGAGGGGCGATGGGCAATGGGGATGGGGTCTCTGAGCAGCCAGCAAGCAGAGGAAAGGGGGGCAGCGCTCAGGAGAGGAGAAAGAAGCCTGGAACAGTAGAGGTCCCAGGGGTCCATTCCAGCTCCTAGGCACCTGGAGGCGGAGGAGGGGAAGGCAGATTAACTCGATCTCCTAGGGTACAGCAAACCCGAAGAGGGAGAGCTACCTTCCTTGGAGGACAAGACAGACAAGGAGGTCGAGGAGACGGGGGTATGGGGGAAGAGAAGGAAGGGAGGGAATAACTCGGAGCAGGCTCCCCATTCCCACTTTCCAGATCAGGCAACTGAGGCCAGCTAGTCTCCCCAGCAACTCCCCGCGCCCCAGAGCCCTAGTTCCATACTTGTGTCGGCCTGCTGACTCGGAATACCTTGACCAGCACCCACCTACCGGGAAGAGCTCGGGGTCTAGTCCCATCCCGCTCCCCTCCCACTACCGCAGCCTCCAGGGAGGACGTAGCGGCTCTGACCCATCTCAGACCCACTCTGCCCTTACCAATCCCCTGCCAAGTCCAGGGATGGGGGTGGGGGGGTGCAAAGGAAGGGGCAGGGGTGGGGGCTGAGGCAGGATGGGTCGAGCGGCCCATTGCAGAGAGGACTTACCCTGTCCCGAGCCTCAGCTTCCAAGCTCAGGGCGGGCGTTAAGTTAGAGCAGCCTCTGCAACTCGAAGAGAAGTGGTTGAGGCCCCACCCCCTCCGCCCCCCGCTTCTTCCCCTTCTCCTCCTTTTTCTCTTTCACCTCCTTACCTCCTCCTCCCTCGGACCCAAGGTCCCCGGGATGGCTGGGGTCATTTATGAAAACGGCTAGGGCACCTCCCCACCGTCCGGTTCCCGTTTCCCCCTCCCCCTTTCCTTTTCTCTCTTCCTTTCCTTCCTCCCTTCGCTTCCTCTCTTTTCCTTTCCCTCTTTCTCCTCCCCCCTTTGTCCTTCTCTCTTCTGTCTTTCCTCTAGATCTCTCCTCTTTCTTTCTTTCTTTCTTTCTTTCTTTCTTTCTTTCTTTCTTTCTTTCTTTCTTTCTTTCTTTCTTTCTTTCTTTCTTTCTTTCTTTCTTTCTTTCTCTTCTTTCCTTCTCTTTCCCTCTCTCCCTTCTCCTTTTCCTCTCTGTTCCTCTCTCCTTTCCTTCCCTTCTTCCTGTCTTCCCTCTGTCCCCCTGCCTTCGACCTTCACTGTCCTTCCTTCCCCAGAGTCTTTTGCTCCCTCTTCTCCCTTTCCCCTTTCTCCCTTTCTCCCTTCCTCCCTCCTCTCCTGGATTCTCTCTCCCTCTTTTCCTCTTTCCTCAGTGGACTCAGGCCAGAGCCGAGGTTATTGAAGCCTCCTGGGCTGGGGAAATGGACAAAGGTCTCTCTTGGAAGGTGAATCACATGCAGGGATCAGGGAGGAGGGAGCAGTCTCTCAGGGAAATCTTATGATCCTAAGGACCCCTTCAGGGGAGCTCTGGACTCTTCAGAAGTTGCCCCTGGGCCTGAACAGAAGAGCGTTATCTTGGTGAATGGGATGTCCCAGTGAAGACTCCTCAGTGTAATTAAGGTTTGGGATAAGACTGAGTGGGATGAAGGGTCCCTTGAAAGACTTCTTAGAAGTGTTTTTATCCCATTGTTATCTCAGTAGTTAAAGTTTGTACCTGTTGTTATATCCCGGTCATGGTGACCTGGCTATACAGTACAGTGTCTAGCTTGACTGCACATTTTTAATTATTTCTTTGGCAACACTGCAGTAAACTAGGGGGCTAAATATGGATATGTATATTGTTTCTTTGTTTTTTCTGTTTATATGGAAGACTTTCGAGTTCAGATTGTGAGCCAAACATTGGCTAGTTGGTGGGAGAGGGCTTTACTCATTAGGTTTATTTAATCTGCTTCTTTGCTTCTGTAATCTGTTTCCCCTCATCAGAACATACTGGTGGAGGGACACCCTGTTCCTGAGAATAGCAAATAAATTAACTTTCTGTTCCTAGAGAAACCTCTAAATGTGTTTTTTAATTTGAGTCGCATCTCACACATTGGGAGAACCAGCCAGGGCATGTTCTGGTCTGCTCTTCCTTAAAGTGGCCAGGGACTTCCTTCTGGAAACCTCTGCAGCTTGGGGCTTTATTCTGTTTTTAAATAGCACCTTTCTCTTGCCTCCAACCACCAGTCCATTCACTGTTTTTCCTTTAGCTTAATTCTTACCTAGCTCCTTGGCTCTGAGCCCTGATCCTCTGCTAAAGCAGAGTCCTCCCTTCCCACCCAGATGGCTTCAGGGAGTATTCTCTTTCCAGCCTTGGACTACATCTCCTATTCTCTTGCAAGGTACGGCAGAAAGGCTGCTGAATATGGAGAGGAATGGCTTGGGTTTGTAATCTGGCTCAAGCCCAGCAGCAAATCACTTAAGTTTCTTGGTACCTCAGTTTTCCTCATCTGTAAAATGGTGGGATGGACTGGACTAGGTGACTTCTAAGGCCTTTCCTTAAAGTCACACAGAGAACATTTCTGGGGAATGATGAGTGTTCTAGTTCTAAATCTGATCCTATAATCCTGGGTGCCAGGGTAGGTAGAATTCTAACTTGGAATCCACTGGCCACAAAGAGCCTCCCTTGGGTGACTGAAATAAGAAAACAAAAACCCTACTACCGAGTAAGGAACAAGCTGGCATCTGCAATCAGTGCCAGCTGCTTTCTTCCCTCTCCGATCAGTTTCTCACGCAGCTGCCAGTCTGACCATGTCACTCCCCTGCTCAGGAAGGTCCCTCATGCCTCTGGGATCAAACACAAATTCCTCTGGCAACGTAAGCCCTTTGAAATCTGGTTTATGGAATGAAATGAATGAGAAAAATTTTTTTTTGCCTATCACTGTCCTACACATGAGTTATGTGCTGTTAACAAGATTTTCCTGAGCCAGGCTCTCACCTGAGAATGAAGAAACAGCAGGCTAGAGACAAAGTGCCAGTAATCAGGGAGCCATTTGATGAATTTAATTTCATAATGAAGAACAGGTTTGCACATCAGGAATTCTCCTGATCAGGACTCCACCTTGCTGAAGTGAAGACAGAGATTAGATAGATAAATTACAATGGGAAGGGAGGGGGGAAGGCGGATTATAGACAATCATTCCTGGGACCTCAGTGGTTTCCCACAACCAGCCCACAAATCTCGTGATACTAATGTACAGATGTCCTCAAGTTCTGTGGGAACAGCATTGTTCAACAGTCTTTGGGGGTCGTTACTTGGTGGGTCATAGGACCAAAGGTCTGTGATGGAAATAGGTTTTACAATCTTGGATTCGCTTCACTTAAGGCACGTAGGCAGTGATGACAGTGATTGTGAGAGTTGTCAAAGTTTGACTAATCAATTTAAGCTGTATTGTAAGTCTGACTCAAGATAGAAAAATTTTGAGAATCTAATCTCTTAGTATATTCATTACACATATTATATCAATTCATATGAAAATCATAATTCCACAGTTCTAACCAGACTTGTCATTCCCCACACCCCAAATTTCCTGCCTCCGGACCTTTGCCCAGATTCTGCCACTGCCCTCATGCCCTCCATCCTTATCTCCTCTTAGAATTCCAGGCTCCCTTTGAAGGCTGGCTCAGATTCCACCTCTTGTCCAACAACTTGGACCAGATGCTAGCATCCCTTCTCCTCCCTGGAAATTACTTGGTATCTACTTTGTATATATTTTGCATTGACTTTAACATATATATATATATATATATATATATATATATATATATATATATATATAATATATATATATATATAATATATATTTGCATTGACTTTAACATATATATATATATATATATATATATATATATATATATATATATGTTGTTTTCCCCCAAGTCCTTGAAAGTCAGGACTATTGGGTCTTTCTTTGTATCTCCATTGCCTAGTACAGTGTCTGGCACAGAGGAATCGTGTAATAATAAATGTTTGTTGAATAAATGTTGAATGAACACATATACCTTCCCTTTCCTCTCTGCTTCCCCACCTCCCTGTCAGCTTCCTTGTCTATCTTGTCTTCTGCCATTAGATTGTAGGGGCAGCTAGGTGGTGAAGTGCATAGAACACTGGGCTTGGAATCAGGAAGACTCACTTTCCTGAGTTCAAGTCAGGCCTCAGACACTTATTAGCTATGTGACCCCAGGCGAGTCACTTCACCCTGTTTGTCTCAGTTTCATCTGTAAAATGAACAGGAGAAGGAAATGGCAAACCACTCTAGTATCCCTGCCAAGAAAACCCCAAATGGGGTCACAAAGAGTCTGACACAACTGGAATGACTGAGCAACAATAGAGATCCCATGAATAAGAGTTAAGTAGCATGAAAGGTCATGCATGAGCAGGTTCCATTTGTACCCACGAGTCAAATTCCTATGCAGATGAGAACATGGGGCCAAGAGCAATTCAATGATCCAGGGCAGCAAATGTTTGGGTCTCACAACCCCTTTACATTCTTAAAAAATTGTTGGGCATCCTCCTAAACAGCTTTTGTTTATGTGAGTTATATCTAGCAATGTTTACTGCACTAGAAATTAAAACATTATTATGAATTATATGTATTATAATGAAAATAGTTTTGACCTCAGAGAACCCTTCAAAGATTTTCAGGGATGCCTGAGAGTCCCCCTGAGAAGTCAGAAAGACCTGCCTATAGAAATCCTATTTTAGCTGTATGGCCCTGGGCCAGTCATTTATCCTCTCTTGGCCTCAGTTTCCCCATCTATAAAATAGGGATGATGATAGCATGTACCTCCCAGGATTGTCGTGAGGCTCCAATGAGATAGCAAATGGAAAACACTTTACAAACCTTAGTGCTAACAATTATTATGTTTATGATTACTTTAATAAATATTATTAGATACTTCTTAAAGAAATATGAAGTGCTAGCACATAGTCCCCTAAAAACCTTCCTCCCATGCCTCATCATCCTGGGGAGGTGACTCTGAGCTCTATAAGTGCTGCCAAGCATGATCAGACTGGCCTCTGGGTTGACCGTGTATATTTCATACAAGTCAACTAACATTTATTAAGCACTAATTATGTGCCAGTGACTGGGGCTGGGAAAAAACTTTTTTTAAATCTATCAATCACACAACGAACTAAGTATTTATTAAGCACCAGTTTTGTTCTAGGCACTCTGCCCAGTTCTGGGGACATACCTTTGAGATGCTTGCCAACGACGTGTCTAAATTAACATGTAATTGGGGCAGTGAGGTGGCACCGGCCCTGGATTCAGGAGGACCTGAAATCCAGCCGCAGACACATAACACTTACTAGCTGTGTGACCCTGGCAAGTCACTTAACCCCATTGCCTAGACAAAAAAAAAATCAATATGTGATTAACATTGCGGATGGGAGGCATTCTTAGAGAGGAAGACACAAGCAACTTGCATTTTACACACACACACACACACACACACACACACACACACTCACATACTGAAATACCAAAAAAAAAGTTGTTGTTTGTCCTTTTGACCATCACATCAGGGAGGTGATGCCACGACTTGCCAATGAATTGGATTACAGTGAGGCAGAGCTGTGCAAAGTCACGAGCCTCACTTTGTCCTATGTAGCCACCTGGGTCCAGTGGCCAGATACAGATTAGGAGGACTGGACATGGCCCCGGACCACAAGGGAGAGAGCATTAACAAATAGGGGTGCTTTAAGAGAAGTTAAAGCAAGGGGCAGCTAGATGGTGTG